CTGTAACGCCCGGAAAAAGTTATTGTATTCTACTAATCCTACTAATATTATAAATGCGAAAGTTTGGATGTCTAGATGTCTGGATAGATGTTTGTTACTCTTTCACGCAAAAACTAGAACGGATTTTGGCTATAATTTATGACGATCTGTGACAAAATAAAGTTCACGCGGGTGAAGCCGCGGGCAAAAGCTAGTTGTATTATAAATGTGAAAGATCGTGTGGATAGATGGATGTTTGTTACTTTTTCATGCAAAAACTATTGAATGAAATTTAGTCAAATGTTAATTTATTTTAGTTTATTTAATACTTAGAGACCTGGGTCTCAAAGTATCTCAAATTTCTTTCTTATTTTCCTGGGAAAAACAAGATAGTTTTTAATTTGCTTTTTCAAAGGAGAACACGCGCACGATAAAGTCTTTCTGTAACAGAACGAAAATCACGCGGAAAAAAGTATGTTATACTTATTCTATTCCGCCCTTCATTTAATGTGCATGTGGATTGAGTGATCCTTGCTTCAATCTTAACAAAAATCGGGGAAGNAATAATAAGGTTTTCCTCAATGGTGTAACTGGCAGGGTCTGACCAGGTCTGACTTTCAGTCAAAAGTTGTCTTTAAAATTGCAATAATCTTTATCAGAAAAGTTACAACTACTTAACTACACACATTACATTTGGTACCAGTAGGTAAGTATGACAGTTTTTTGACGATTTTCATGTAGCCATATAAGGTATTGTTTAAGCATAATTATAAATCGTACTTATGTTTCTAGACGCTGCAATTCATCATCATCAAACAGGAACATGACCCTCTGACTCTATTTTCCCCATACAGGGGGCGTAGTGTGAGTTTACGTATAACGCATTCGCTGTCGACTACTTACGTAAAAAATTACATTTAATGTATGACGGATTGTACAGCGCCCCTAGCGGAAACTTCCAAGAACTGAAATCTTATATTTTTTTAACGCGCTTGCTATTGACGACGTTTGATGTAACTCACACTAAGCCCTCAGGTTAGGCAAATTGACAACCGGATGTCCACATGTCCCTTAGTCTCCTTTTACGACATCCACATGTGGGAGTGGTCCTATTCAACTCTGATGGAGACACACAAAGACACGACCCATTCACTTTACCGGAAGTAGCGGAACTACACAGCTGAAATCAAATTTCAGCAGCAATCAAAGATTGGTTTCCTCAATTCAATAGATAAATTGACAGTTCAATTGGGCCTTATTTATATATTTTCTTAAAAAACCTACAGTTTTTCTGATATTACATTATCGCTGAAACATATCCAAAATCATGGCAAATAACAGGTTTTCCTTCCCTATCAAATAGTAGAGTATGCTGTTGGTAAAACAAAACTAAAACGAAACTTTTTTGTCAGACATTATATTATCAGCCCCCTTAGACAAAACGCACTTTATCGAAAATCGAATCCGTCAAAACTCCATACAAAAAAGGGACATTTCGACCACTTTTCGACTGGTTTGCGATTATAATTTGCACTTTGTCTAGACCCACAGTTTCAGCATTCCTCTATGGTTTCAGCACGGATATTACATACTTACACGACAAGCTCCATGATAAAAATATAAGAAAGAAAAAACTCATAAAACTAATTTATTTTTGCAATGAGGCATTTTACACGTCTCTGTATTACCTTAACCCTACCACTGCTTTAGTACAATAAATGGGCTAGTGCTGATAAGAAGCAGCGCAACACCTTTATAGGCCTGAAAGGCGCTTCATGTTGCACCTAATAAAAAAAATATCGTTATTTTAGAAAAACAAAATATTTTTTGGGATAAGTATTTAAAATATTTGAAAATTACGAAGTGACTCGTCTTTTCCATAACTTTATATGTTTTCTCTTAGAATGGAACGATTGCTTTCAGAAACTAATTCTCATCGCTAACCTCGTCGGTCATTAATCTGGATGGATTGTAACAGTATTCAATAATCATTAGACTAACATTTCTGTTGGAGTAAGCAAAAAGGTTAAACAAAGTAGATGAAGAGCAGTGGCAACTAATAAAAAGTAAGTACCTAGTATCTACCTTCAATCAGGCTAAGAGGATTCGATAGCAGTTAGCCCTTATTGGTTTGCACCTCGAGTTTGTTTCTAATAAAAACAATTGAACGTTTCACGTGTCATTTTGGCTGCAATTCTTTTTTATTTCATTAACAAATTGATTTTGACGGTAAGGTCGTACCTAACATACTTAATAGTTATAGGAACAGTGATAATATGGGATGATTATCCTAATGAATATTGTCTTTCTGAGCCATATTTACTAGGTTTGTTTATGCAAAATTGCAGAAAATGCAAGACAATTTTGACTTCTACTTGTTTTGCCGGTAAGTATTGAAAAGTTCATAAAGGTAGCAGGGAAGCGCTGGACGCAGGCCGCTACCAATTGATCAACATGGAAAGCATTGGGGGAGGCCAATGTTCAGCAGTGGACGTCCTATAGCTGAAATGATGATGATGATTGACATGTTTGAAAGTAGCAACAGTATTAAATTTCTCCTTTGAATGATGAAGGAGTTAAAAAGCATTAAATTAATGCTACTTATGTACCATCGATGCATGCCTCGTTAAATGCCTCTATGTACCCTAAGACTTCTATTCTAACTTTACTGGTCAGTGGAATCGTATTAAACATAGGAAAATCTTATTGATTTTAGCCAGTTAACTGGCGAGTGTTTGACAATGTGATTGCTCTACCATCTTTGTGTGGGTCAATATGAACCGATCCTAAGTACAAACAATAGCAAATCACAAGCTGAACACTGGCATCTTAATATTAGTTACATAAATATCCTGTACTCTACAATGAAAATGAGTTACTTTACCAAAACTTATCTATTATCAGTTAGTTGCAACGATTTTAAGAAGAGATTAAAGAATCAAAAGGGGATTAATTTAACAAGATACCTGAGCTAAGGACAGAACAGACTTCTCTAGAAACTTTTACTTATTGATGAATGAAGAATTCCATATCTCCCTTCTGATTTTCTCACTAGGCCCAAATTAGAAGAACTTAACAAGTTTCTGTTGCTGATTCTTGTATTAAAGTGATTTAATGAGTGATTTCATCAGTGACAATAAGAAACTTCGTTTCATTGTTTTTGGTCAGCTTTCTGAAATGTAAGTATTCGAAGGAACTTAGTTAGTAAATGGTAATTGCTACTATGATTTTCATTAAGACTTATTTATGGAGATAAGGGCTTTTAACTTGTGCTAGCCAAATGCACTACAACGAGTTTAAATTGCCAATGTCAACCCTATAATGAAAATCCTGTAACGCTTGGAAAAAGTTATTGTATGCTACTAATATTATAAATGCGCGGGTGGATAGCTAGTTGTATTATAAATGTGAAAGATCTTGAGGATAGATGGATGTTTGTTACTTTTTCATGCAAAAACTATTGAATGAAATTTAGTATAGAGATTGTGAGATACTTTCAGACCCAGGAAAAACAGAAAGTTTTTATTTTGCTTTTTCAAAGGAGAACACGCGCACGATAAAGTCTTTCTGTAACAGAACGAAAATCATGCTGAAAAAAGTATGTAATACTTATTCCGACTATTCCGCCTTTCATTTAACAAGCACAGATATTATTATAAGGTAAAATACCCAATACTCTACACTTTTTGCACTTTGGCTAACTTTGCAACGGTGGTACGAAAAAACTATTTGACTTTGAAAAAATCTGATTGCCTGGCCAGGTAGATAATGTATTCCTCTTTTATGTTAATTTATATTCGTTATCGTAGGTATTATGAATTAATTCAAATAATTATTTAACTGAAAAAAGACTAGTCTAAAATAAGCAATGTTATGATGAAGTAGGTACTTGAGCAGGTTAAATAGATAAGCTGTATTTAGGATCCGATGTGATTCAACTTTTTTAGGTGAAGAACGATGTGCAAGAAATGATAAAAAAATGTATTGTGACAAAAGGACAGTAAAATAAGTTAACAGAAAGACATAATTGTGAAATGACCACAGTTAATATCAACTGTTATAAGCGAATTAATATTTTTGTTATTTAAATATAAAGCAGTAGGTAATACAATTCTCTTTCGCAGTTATGTTATAGAATTAAAGTTTTTTTATTAGTTCAGTATTAAAATGACTGTTACAGGCTACTTTAGCATCAGAAAATCACTCGCCGTAGTGTTGCTTTTTTATTTTAGAAACAAACGTAACTTGTTATTAAACCAAATGCGAAGGTAATTACAAATATGTAGTACCTTTTAGAAATCTTACTGGCCACCTACTATCGTTTCAGATGATCAGACAAGAAGGTTAAACGCCTTACTTGTGAGATTGATATTACTTTTGAGAATAAAAACAAATTATGTTTTCAGCACGGTTATCAACATTCATAATATTCGATAAGTGTTACTGGCCAGCTACTTCAGCTCCAGAAGAGCGAACGTCAATTTTTTTTCTTCCGAAACTAAGGACTAAGTTTTCTAAAAAAACTACATGTTTAAAAATAGTATTCGATAAGTGTAACTGGCCAGCTACTTCAGCTCCAGAAGATCGAAAGTCAATTTTTTTTCAGAAACAAAGGAAATTTTTTTCTAAAAAAATACAAATTTAAAAATAGTATTCGATAAGGGTAACTGGCCAGCTACTTCAGCTCCAGAAGATCGAACTTCCAATTTTTTTTTTCCGAAACTAAGGACTAAGTTTTCTAAAAAAAACTACATGTTTAAAAATAGTATTCGATAAGTGTAACTGGCCAGCTACTTCAGCTCCAGAAGATCGAACTTCCATTTTTTTTTCTTCCGAAACAAAGAAAATCTTTTCTAAAAAAATACAAGTTTAAAAATAGTATTCGATAAGGGTAACTGGCCAGCTACTCCAGCGTCATCAAGGAGGTCGGTGCTGGGTACTGGCGCCCACGCGTGCGTGGCCCCGCCTACAGCCCGCCCTGGCCCTATAAATGCTGGAACCTCCGTGCTCGAACTCCATTCAACTTGTTGCTCATCCGTGCAACTCGACCTACCAAGTTTGAAAAGTTCGCCGCGCGTTCCGCACATCTATCCGGTAAGTGAGAGTTCTGATTTTAAATTTTGTTTCATAGCTTAGAGACTGTTTTAAATCACCTTATTAAATATAATCTAGAAATAAAACAAATTAATATTACTTGAAAGGGAAAATAAGACATTGTCACAAAAACTAAAGTTGACTTCAAATTAAAAATTAAAATAGGAATTTTAATTACTACTTGAAAATGCTTAGAAATATTGGAAAATACGCTAAAATAGTGACTGACTTTCTTACATGGCACTATTCCTCATAAATCGAGGCAGGTTTTATGCTCAAAAGTTATGGAGGGACGTGTAACAGAGTTTTAAAAAAGCTCTTATAACTACTGAGAATAAATGTTGCTTTTATTTTAAAATGATCTTCATAATATCAGTTTTAATGTTAAAATACCTTTTTACGACAAAGCTTTTTCTCGCCTTCGCTCCCGTCCTTACAATAGAGCTTAGACTTTTTTTTATTAAAATAATATTATAAATAATTAGTATCTTTTAAAATGTTAATTCAAGCTCTAAAATATTTTATAACTTTACAAAAATACAAATGAGAGAGAGAGAGTTAAGTTTAAGTTTTTATTAAGTTCAGAATGGAGCTTATTATACATACTTTTATAGCAAATTATTGTCTTTCTGAATAAGTCCGTAGAGTCTGTTAATGTTACATTCCAAAATAAAAAATAAATAATTTACTTACAAGTATTATTGTTACTTACAAGTTTATTTATCTTACTAATATTATAAATGCGGAAGTTTGGTTATCTGGATGTCTGGATGTTTGTTACTCTTTCAAGCAAAAACTACTTAACGGATTTTGATGAAACTTTACAGTATTATTCTTTATAACCCAAAATAACACATAGGCTATAATTTATGACGATATGTGACAAACTAAATTTCACGCGGGTGAAGCAGCGGGCAAAAGCCACCTTATTCTCTACCTTTCTCGTGCGTCTTCCTTCTTTTTTTCAAGCAAGAGCTGAAAATCAGTGTTCTGCTCATTTTTAGAGCAGTGTCTACACTAAGCTCTCTGCTTTTCTGCATCGCTGCGGCACACTTATACCTTAGCGCAGGATATTCTTTTTTACTCCTTGTAATGTACTATATCTTTCCTGCTACTCCTGTGTTTATTAATCTTACTTTTTGTGTGTCAATTTGTTTTGTAAATAAACCATATATCTATCTATCTATCAAAAGTTAGTCTGTTATAGATATTCGCTAATAACAAGAGCCAATAAACTATTACTAGCTCAAAACATGGACTCAATAAATGTTCATTGCTAATGAACCTCATGTACCTAACTGTATTTAGTTACTGTATTTTATCTAACAGAATACTGTTAAATGTTGAGACAACAAATAAAATCATATCTCTGTTAAACGATTGTTAATCTCTTATTAAAGTAAGTACTTTCTATCCCATAATGACATGAACTGTAGAGACTTGTTATTTAATCTCATAAAGTTTAGTTTACCTTTATGTTTTATGCAAGGTTTTTGGTTCTATAAAATTAAAATTTTATAATCGCAATAAATTATCACGAAAATAATGTACTGTATTTAAAAATAGTTCTGTTTTCTCGCTCTTTATACTAAATTAGCGCGTTCAACCAAACAAACAAACAAACTCTTCAGCTTTATAATATTAGTATAGATTCTATTTTCTGCTCGAACTACTTCTTACCTATAAGTTATCTAATAATCACTTATTTTGTAATCTAATACTATCATTCAATCAACCGCCGTACATTTAATTCCGTTTTATTATAAAGTCGACATTTTTACTAAGTATATTATTTGTTCATGATGTCCATCCATATACTTAGCATTATTTTAATTAAGGTAAGTACATGGTAGCAATCCCGTCAGTAGGTAATAATAATTATGTTAGTGACCATGAAAGTTTAAAACAATATACTTAATAGCATATTTATAAGCAAAAACACTTGAAACAATACATTGATGTCATTGAAAACTTTTGGTCGTTCCATATTATATTCGTACAATTTTTTTAAGAAACAAAGATCATCGAGTATTCCGTAGGGACGCACTTAATGCAATTTGTTTTTTTCATGAAAACTTTTTAAAATTCATACTGAATGCACCCGTAAAACCTGATTAAAATTAATTGGGTACCTTTTTACTGCAATATGCAATTGGTCGACCTTTTCAATGCGGGAATTAAAATATTTCATTCCGACTTTTGTTCTGCTGATCGGCATTCTCTAGAGACCTTTCTGAAGAGCTGTTGAAATTTTCATAATGTTTTCAATACGGGGTCAATGTTGGACTTGCAATATGCTTTCTTGTCATATTATTTTGTTGATGTGATATTCACATATTGTTACCTTCTCGAATCTCGTAAGTGAGGGCAATAAGGTATATTATTTGATTTATATCTTACATATGACTATCTTACGTATGAGTATACCTATACTAGAAACGAATGTTTCCTGAAAAAACAAGTGATTTTTCTCAATAATTATCAACATAAAAAAGGAGGTTGCGATGAGGTAGGTACATCTTAGGGAAATAACATTAATTTATTGCTAGTAGATATCTCATAATCTTACAACAAGTAATAAGAATGTACCTTTATATCGCACGTTTACTGTTGATTTTTATTTAGTGTATTAAGTTTGAATTAACTAGGTAGCTATCTAAAGTAAACGAAATAAAATATCCTTAATACATAATTATTCGTAAGTAGCTTAGCACTTANACTTAATAGTAGCTAAGAAATAAAAATAAATATTTTACTACTTTCTTATGCAGGATTCTACGTAATTTTATTTTTATTTTTGGTATCAAAGAGCTGGATAAATGGATAAATGATCATAAAAAGAAAATAGACTTAACGCTACATCAAAGTAAAATAAGCCGTGAAAGCTTAGAGCTTTCTTAATACGAATATACTTACTTAAGTATTTATCTTATTCATGACAGTATTCTTCCTACGGGCTTGAATTTAAACGAAACTTTCTTGGTCTTTATTTTTCATTTTATGTAAAACGTTTTTTCGAAAATACTTATTAGCCGTCAGGGTAGGTGGAGGGTATAGGAAAAGCCATAAGTGGGCTCATGACGAAAAGGAAAGAAGAAAAAAGCCAGGATTCATTACTTCAATGAGATTTAAACTTGAATCGTTTTTAGGGTTCCGTAGTCCCTTATAGTTTCGATATGTCTGTATGTCTGTCCGAGGTTTTGCTTGGAAACTGTTGGCAATAGGGAGCTGTAATTTTGTAGAGTATGTATATTAATCACGCCGACAAAACGGTAGAAAACAATTTTGAAAAAAAAATTTTTTAGGGTAGTTCCCTACATGTAAAGTGGGGATGATTTTTTTTTCATTTTCTATCCCATCGCCATCATGTGGGTTAACGTTGGATAGCTTTTTTAAAATGGCTTAGGGGTTTCTAAGACCATTTTTTGATTTAGGGATCCGCTTGCAAAATGTTAAGTTTCAAGTGCCAATTTTTGTCCGAGTACGGCGTCCCCCCCTCTAAAAATTAACTGTTGGCTTGAAAAATCTGGAAAAATTCATGATACTAGTGTTTTTTATGAACTTTAAAGGAAAACTACGAAAATATTAAAAGGGACTCTAGATGAAGTAATTGCTTACTTCTGAAATATATTGTGGTAACGACGGACAACTACGGAACGCTACACTGCCCGTGGCACGAGTGCACGACACGCTCTTGGCTCTTGATTACAACTCTGAAGATTCTTAATATTAAAATAGACCGTAGGTATCCTCGTTATAGTCGTTATTTATGACATTAACTTCTTAAAAGTCCCAAACAATGGTGTTGTTCATAGAATTTATCTCTAATTAAAGCGAACTATAAATATCTTCTATCTATGGTTTTCCTTTTTAAAGTCACTTCAGATATAATGTTCCACAAATATTCGATACAAAACGTTTCAAAATTACGAAAACAATCATTGTTATTACCCGGAATCGTACTTCAATACTCACTTAGAGATTATTTACTCGAATATTGTTATTGTATTTGAGCAATCATCGAGTAATTAATAATCGAATAAACAATCGAGAATTCATCGATTTTATCAACCTTTCGAGAGATGAGGCTACGTTTACAAAAAAGGTCTGTTTAGAAAAATGCAAAATTAGGAATTGATACTTTGGTACCAATCTTCTAAAAAGTCGAACAGTTAAAACCATCAACGTTTTGCCTAAATACAAATGTTTATTTAAAACAAATGACAATGAAAAACTAATTCTACAGAAAGGTCAAAAGTATTTGGGTCAGGATTCAATAAAAGAGTTATTTTTTAGGGTTCTGTGACTTGAAAAAATGTTAACATCAACTCCAGTTACACAAATACATGAAAGTTGCTACATAGAAAATGATTGACACCGGGTAAAACAAACACAACCTAAATTATTTTCCATATTTTGTAATATACTTAAAAAAAGAATATCTCAAAAAGAAAATTACATTGTGTTAAAGTAATTTAACAAAGTTACGTTTCTATTTAAGTTAGGGTGTAAGGATAATACGGCAGATACTTTGAAGCAACGAATAAAACGTTTCATATTTAGAAAATCACGAAAAAAAAACCTTATACATTCATTTAAAATATAGATCGAAAGTATTTCTTTGCTACGTATTCAACGTCGGACTAAACCCAGAACTTGAGATTTTAATATTTAAAAGCTCAACTGTTTTGCTACGAAGTTGTTACATTAATCTATATCTATCTATACTAATATTATAAAGCTGAAGAGTTTGTTTGTTTGTTTGTTTGTTTGTTTGTTTGTTTGGTTGAACGCGCTAATCTCAGGAACTACTGGACCGATTTGAAAAATTCTTTTTGTGTTGGATAGCCCGTTAGTTCCTGAAGGCTTTAGGCTATTTATCATCACGCTAAGACCAATAGGAGCGGAGCACCAATCAAAAATATTTCAAATCAGTGAATTTTTTCCTTTTGAGAGCTGACGCTGCGTAAACGGTTAAAGTTTCGCAAAAATCATGTATG